TTGGTTTTAAAATTACAGTTTCTTTCCTGTGTTCATGTCTGTTATTATAAAGTTTTCTACTTTAAATCTTCTCCTTTTCTATAAGCTGCCATTATCTAAGCAATTTTTATTTCTTTCTAACTTATTGACTCTTATATAGTGTTAGTCAAGGAAACATGAGTAGGTGTTGGTTTTGTTTCCTTTTGAGAGAGGTATAGTTTGAGACAGAGTCAAACAACATAGCCCAGGCTATGCTGGAACTCACTGTGTAACCCAGGCTGGACTCAACCTCACATCAATCTTCCTGCCATAGCCTCCTGAGCACTGGGCTTATAGCACTACACCATGAATAGCTGGGATCTACAGCTTTCACCAGTGACTGATGTGCAGGAGTTTATCACACACATATATGCATTGTGGCTTTGCCTTATTCAAGATAGCCTAAACATAACTAGTATACATTCATAGTGCAAAACACAAAGTAAAGGGCCAGCCAAAGAATAATATATGTAAGATGCATTTAAAATCACTCTCAGGATGGACAGATGGCTCAATGGTTAAACATGGAACTTCACCAACACAGTGTCTGAGATCCTTAGGAACTAGCACAGAGATGTGTCATAAAGCTTCATCATTAAAAAAGACAACACTATATTGCAAACCGCCATGATTTTTAATTTGAGAAGTAAATGTTACTGCCCTGGGCAGTGTATTTCTCCCAGTTCCTGCCTTACTTTCTCTGATGCTGAGAAAATATCCTGATAAAAGCAACTTAAGGGAGAAGGGTTTTATTGTGGCTCGAAGTTCAGAGTCACGCACCTTCACGATGGAGGACATCACTACAGCACCCACAGTCAAGGAGCAGAGAGTGACAAATATCTGTGTTCGGCTGCTTTCCCCCTTTGTATCCAGTCCAGGATCTTAGCCCAGGGAGTAGTTCCATTCACAATGAGGTCTTCCCATCTCAGTTAGCCTAATCAAGACAATTCTTCACAGGTGTACCCAGAGGCTAACCTAACGTAGAAAATCCTTCACAGCTGTGTCTCCCTAAGTGATACTAGATCCTATCAACTTGACATATCAGTTCCCAATAGAAAAAAAGAAAATGGCCTGGAAGGCCGCTGGCATTAAGGCTTGGACTCTAGATGACACATTACACTTCACAGTTATTTCTATGCCATATCATATAACCTTCAGAATGTAAGAAAGTTTATGGATAAGCAATATATAAAATAATATCATGCAAATGTTCTCACATAGGACTGTAGAGCACCAATGATGGTGCTCTGTTATGACCCAGTTGAGATTAAAACATTGAGAACTTGATTTTAACTAAATGATTAAGTAACTCGCGACTTGCTACACACAACGGTCTGTGAATTAGCAAGACCAATCCAGGGCCACTTGGTATCTACATTTTAACAAGAGCTCCAGATGAGTCTTATGGACATTAAAGTTATAAAAATACTAAACTAAGAAAGGAAAAGAAAGACAAGAGGAGGGGGAGGAGAAAAGGAAGAAGTGTTTTTAAAACACTTCTCGAGGTGTTTTAAAGAGATTATATGAGGTTTCACTCAATTTGCCCCACAGTAAGTTCACAGGGGTATGTGTAAAGACAAGTCTACATTGTCTAATACATAGGGATGCTTATAGTGATGTTTATGACTAGAAACAGCTAGCCTTTCTAACACTCCCAAGTAGACATGCAGTGATTCTTTGGAAGCCATGATGACCTTGGCCTATGGCACACTCTTTTTATAGCCTTCTATTTTTGATCAAGAAGCAACTGAAGGAAAAACCAGACAAGATGTTCCTTCTGGAATGAGTGAGGGGCGCTCCTCTGTGAAATGTATCCCTCTACAGAGGCCAGACAAATTTGCCACTATGCCCTCACCATGCTGTCTTACCTCAAATTTGGGGATATTACAAAAAAAAAGCTAATTTGTATATGTTCTTTGCATTTCTAAACAGGTCACAAAAAATAGACAGGAGCATTTTTGTCTGTTATTCTTGGTAATGGTCTAAGATTTAATGATTTCAAAATAAAATAAAAATGAATTTTGAATCTAATAAGGGGGAAAAGAGCATATTTCAAATCATATCTGTTTTAAAACTGAACTTCTGAAATTTTAATGAGCTGTCCCCCTTCTTTCAGGAATGTATGAAATAAACAGCCTTTGCTCATTGTGTCTGTGTTCATTTTGAGCATAGAATGTTGTATAGCCTGTGATGGGAAAGAATTCTAACTAAATCAGAAAGCTTAGTCCCTTAGACACAGACCTGTCCCAAAGTGTCTCTTATTTGACTAAGTCATATGTTAAAGTCATCTAAAATAATTATCAGAATCTATTCTTTGATGACTTTAACACTTCCTTAAAAACTACTGCATAATAACTACTATCAGAAATTACACTTCATTACTTAGAGTACAAATACTAAAAGTTTCTCCAATGTTGGAATTGGTATTTATAGTTATGATACACAGTTACATTTTTTAACTATTTGCTTCTATAGTGCATTTTAAGACACCTGAGAAGATTGTTAAATGACTTCAATAAAATTACAAATGGTGTACTCAGTCATTTCCTCGGTTCTCTATAAAACACTGTTCAAAACTATTTGTTGTTTCCTTTTTGAGGCAGACCTCCAACTCTCTGTCTTCCTGCTTCCACCTTTGGAGTGCTTTCATTACAGGTGTATATTAAATCATCTATGCCCAACTGATTTAAAAACATTTCATCTGTTCTATCAAGTAACCATGAGCTCTGTGTAACTCATATATCAAGGCTTTTGTGTTTTACAGTCATCTCTAAAGTAAGAGAATATTCTTCAGATCACAGTAACTCCTGGATGAAGCAAAAGCTTCCTTTGTGATTTCTATTCTGTTCACACTTTAAGTTTCACATTAAACTCTAAGCATCAGCAATGATTACTGCTGACATCTTTGTATCAGTGAGCCTCTGAAATTTTATGCCAAGCTCTGAAAACTTCACCCAGGGTACTATCAAATTAGGCAAGCCTAGTTTTCCTATGTTTACTATCTGAAGCACATACTCTCAGAACTTCAAAGTGAATGCCTGGCTGGGTAGTCATATCTAGTTTTCACTATTTATCATTTTAATGGCTTTCTTTTAATCCCAATGAAATGCTCTGTTTCCTAATTTTGTGTGAGTATCCTTCACCTGAGAAAGTGGAAGAAAAATGGTAACACTTGTTAAAAATTCATTTCTTACTTTTCCTGTAGTACAGTATATCTAAAGAAGCAAAGCTTATTGAATCAAGTTCAATGAAATAATAAATTCTTCCTTTCTGAAAATGCCATGGCTTAATTTACTAGTGCACTTTAAGCCTTTGCCTTTAGCATTGGATGGGTCATTAGCCTATATGTAATCCAGCAACTCAAACTCCTTATAGTCTAAACTCAATCAGCAAAAACCAAATCTGTAGTTTCTGAAATATGACTGGTAGGTCAAGTGTCCTCAAAAAGAGTGCCTGGGGCATCCCAGATGCAGAACAGGGCATGGCAAGGAACAAATGAGGCCAGAATTTGATGCCAGCACTCATTAAAGACTTCATTCATTCTAACTCACTAAACAACTATTCTTCAAGTGATCCAACCGTGACTTGTTTGATGTCTGCTACCAGTAAGTCCGGCAATGAAATCAGTAGCTAGATGCCGACCGCTTTTGTAGACATGTCAAGTTGAACATTCTAATCATACATTTGCCCCCAAAATGCAAAGAGAGAGAGAGAGAGAGAGAGAGAGAGAGAGAGAGAGAGAGAGAGAGAGAGAGAGAGAGAGGACAAGTTCAGGCTATGGAATAAACTATCAGTTGTCAGTAATTACCAACCCTACGTGTGAAATGAATTCTTTCTCTGCTGGATAAAATTAATCTCCTTTCTTTGAGAGCTTCTTCTATGGCTGAAAAATATAAATAAAAATACTACCAAAAAATGTTTTTTAATGTCATATCATCTGAAAGTAAACCATTTTTTTCTCTCATATATTTAGTGGCTGAAACAGACAACCACTTCAAAATGCCTGCATCTGCTTTAGTCTATATATGTTTATTCAAGTGAGACTACACACTGAAGACAGAGGTAAAGTTTGTCTCAAGGACCGAACAGTATCAAGCAAGTGAGGTAATACTGTTTCTTCACCTACATCATCATCAACAGTACCAATGTTACCATCAATTATATGATTATCATAATCACCCTAGAATGTGTCTTTGCTTTATACAATTTTAAATAATTAATGAAATACACAAGAAAAGACAGTACTTAAAATTCCTATCTGACATTATGCTTGGAAAAATAGTGGTGAAAATCTTCCATCTTCCATGGACCCTCTAAATTGAGATTTCTCAATGTTCTACTTTAAAAAAAAACTCACACATCATTATAGTGTCATCTTCCCAAAAGAACTTAACACTAAACCCAATAGTTGAATTGAGTCACTTTCTTTAGAAACTTAAAAGGCAGAATCTAAAATTGCTGGTTGGCCATGGTCCCTATGAGCAGATGGGGAACAGCAAGGGCCATGGCAGTAGGAACAGATACATAGAATTTAGATTCTCTAAAGACAGTGACCATGAGGGCATGAAAAAAAGAAGGAGAGGCCATAACAGGGAGCCTGAATGAGAAGTGAGTAGAACTTGAAGCCGGAGGTCAGAGGAAGCAAGAAAAGACCGGCAAAAGGAGAAGAGAAATTGGAGAGTGGGTGGGAGGAAGAACAAGTAAGAAAGAAGAGCATTAAGCTACAGCACATATGCCTAAACCCATGAAATTAACATATTGAAAATATCCAGTGCTTCCTTAAAGAGAAAACAGTGGTTGGATCAAGTTGCTGGTCCTCATAGATGAGGAAGCCAAGTGACACATTGTGGTAGGCAGCCTCTAAAAAGACTCCTGCCATACTGTCCGTGTATAATCCACTCCCATTGAATGTGGGCATGGGCCAGGCCTAGTGACTCATTTCTAACTGAGAAAACATGGCAAAAATTGATGGGGTGTCATTTCCAAGATTCAGTTACAAAAATGCTCTGGCTTCCATGTTGCTCACCCTTTCTTGCTCTCTCTCACTTGCTCACTCTAAGGAATGCCAGCTGCCGTACTGTGAGCTACACCATGAGAGGACCTACGTGACAAGGAACTGAGGGATCTCACTGGCCAATAGCCATGGAGGAAATGGAGCCTGGCAGCCTACCAGAGAAGAACACCCAAGGAGCTGAACCCTGAACTACCTTGGTAAGCTAGAAGCAAATCTTCCTTCTGCTGAGATTACAAATGAGACTGCCCTTGTGCATAACACTTTGACTGTAATTTTGTACAAGTCCCTGAGCTAGAGCATCCCAGCCACCTGTCTTTAGCCACACAAACTATGGGACAATAAAGATTTGTCAGTTCCAACTGCTGAATTTCAGAATAATTTCCTTACGCAACAGGGGATGAGTAATGTGTGCATTTAATATAAAAATAACTTTAAGCCAGATTAACTCCAGATAAGTGGTGAATTGTTAAGGTAATCCTAACGGGATTGAATTTGAAGACCTACCATTGGGAAAGGTACAAGTGACACTTGTATTAGTAGCAGAGTTTACCTTGTATTTTGCATAGAGACCTGGGTTTGAACAACTTTGAGCCAGGTCTCTACTCACAGGGAGCAAGTTGTTTAATCCATCTGAAGCTGTTTTTATGCATGGAAAATGGAGTTTATAATCTTCCTTGCTTGTCTGAACTGTCCTGAGATTAGCTTTCATCATGTGGCAGAAACTACTTTGGGTAATTTGGAAAAAAAAAAAAAAAAGTTCATAATGTAAGTACTATGGATACAGCAGAGTTTCACCAGCTGGAATTTCTCCAGGCTAGTAGCATTTTAAACGTTTGCAACTCCTTAAAACTACTTCTTTTTTACAAGACTTTACAATATATATTGTACTTCTTGATTTTTGCCAGAGTTAATCTTTTTAATGCTTCCTTCTATTGATGCCCACCTCAAAACTGACCATTTAGTGTATAATGAAGACATGCTCAAGTATTTCTAAGATGATCTTGTCTCTATGTTAAAGGTATATATCTTGGCAAGCTTCCCAGAAACAGAGCCTGAGATAAGAATTCTTGTTAGAATGACCCATTCAGAGAGAGTGTTCTCAAGAGAAGAGGGAGACAAGAAAGGAGAAAAGTAAGCCGCAATGTGGACCCTGCAAAAGCAGACTAGAGTCCATCCTTAAGCCCTGAACCCCAAAATCATTAGGTGCACTTCAAGGCAAAATCGCTGGCCTTCTGCAAATTTCTTCCCACCTATTTCCCTGTCAGGCATTGGCCTTAGGACAGACCTCCAAAGGTGTCCTTCTACCATGCTCAACCCAGCCACCCGAGTTAAATCTAAGTCCCAATCGCTACAGAGAGCCTAGGCAACATCCACTAAAGGGTATATACTTCGTGATGGGCTTCCCACTCCCCTCTTTGGTAAATTCTAATCATTTTTGCAAATGGATCTTGAAATACTAAACAGTCTTCGAACTCGATGGTTTATACACCAGCTGTGTTAACGAGACAGCAGAAAGAGTGGTAGCGTGGAAAAAGCAAACTCTCTCCGGTCAGGGTTGCAAAACTGAATTTAAATCAGGTTAAAAAGAATGGGAACATTGGGAGAGTTGTTCCTAAAATATAGTCAATAAGAAATGTATGAAACTGGTCCCTGAGCAAGGCTGAGACATAGAAGCCCTGGTTCCTCTAAAAGCCCCCAGAGAGGACAGAGAGGCGTGTCGGTGAGCAGTTTGGGAAATGGGAAGATTCTTGAGAGAAGCGAAGGCCAAGGAAGCCAAATCAGTGGCAGAGAGCACGGGAGGAAGGAAGGAAGAGATACTCATCGCCTGAGAGGAACAAAGACAGGAGAACGTGTAAACAGTTTATGCGGGCGGGGTCCTCGAACTCCGGCCCCTGAAAAAGCCTCGCAGATTTCCCATTCCAACTTCTCTCTAGTTCTCAAATCTGACTGGGCCCACTCTTTTCCTTATAAATTATTTACATTTGAAAAGCTCCATCGTGTCACAGAAGATGGCAAAATGTCTGTTTACCCAGCGGTTATTACTAACACTTCAGCGCTAGCTTCCTGGAAAGGAAGATTGAGGGCGAGGTGGTCTTCATCGGAAGTGTATTTTCACTTCATTAGCCTCGTAGAAATCCTGAAGCTTCCAAACACGTGGGAAGCTTCACAGAGGCGCTTCGATGAGAATGTCAAGGCTGGGTTTGTGTGTGCCGCACAGCTCGGCCTCCCTCCTCCCAGCACGGTCAATGCCAAGCTCTCGTTTGTGTTTCTGACATTAATTAATTTTGGCTTTTTTAGTATATCGGGAAGAAAAAAAAAGACTGGAGATTCTCATGTAAAATTTTACAGTGGCAACACTATTTGAAGCAGAATTCAGTCTCTTTCCATCATTCTCAAGCATAGGTTACCCACTTTTTAAAAACTGTTTCAACTAGCACATGTTTATGTCTGAGCAAAGTGAAATGGAAACGCGGGTTTAAGGTGATTGCCCTGCTTGCTTTCTATAACAAAATATCTGTTGGTTTTTAAACGCATATTGAAACAGTATGTTAAATTCAGTTCTGACAGCATATAAAGATACGGGCTTTCCTAGACACGTAAGCTGAGTCTTTTTTTATGGGCTCATAAAGGCTAGAGTTAAGGAATAGTTAAGTAGTGGGTAATTCATAGAACAATATCTTCCATCACCCAGAGAACATAGGGGGCAGCCACAATTTATTCTTCTTAGACATCTTCCCCTCGTTTTTTTTTTTTTTTTTTAATATTCTTTGGAGGTGAAAAGTATTTAGAAAAGACCTAAATACATTTTTTTTTGTTATTCTTGAACTATCAAAGATGTACTCTCTCTGGGACTGCCTTCACTTCCTCGTCCTGGATGTGTTAACCCACTTCAGAGACTGGCAGAATGAACCCAAAATGCCAACTTACTATTTGCATTATAAATGGAGACACAAAAGGATATTTTAAAACTTTGGGTTGATCTGGCATATCAAAGATTTCTTTCTAAGCCACTTCAGTGACTGCATTGAAGTCAACTGAAAGCGGTAGCTTGAAAGTGCCTTTTTTAAAGTCGTAAGAGAAACGGCTGATTTCCATGGCAGTCTCCTCCAGTTTACTCCCTGACCTCCCCCACTCCTTTCTGGGTTGCTTCTCTTTCTTACCCTCTTCTCTATTCCTAGGAGTCAAAAAGAAGGAAATCTAGAAATGTCCACATGCAAGTGTTGACTTAGTTCTTAGTGTTGCGGAATCCACTTTCCTCGCCTTGTCATATTCCTCGCCCAGCTTCCAGCAGGCAGCTGACTTTCATCATGCCGAGTTACTTGCCAATGCCAGCTTCGGCTCTTACCACGTGCTTTGCAATAACGTCTCCTGTTTCATGAGGTGTTCAAAAGTTAGAGTGTCTACCCTGAGGTAGACGTAAGAGTAAGGCTGATGATGTACTTAAGCAAGAAGTTGCCCGGACTTTACAATCTTAACAGCTTTCTGACCATCCTTTCCAACTCTATAGTCTAGTTTTGTTTTTGTTTTTTTTGTTTTTTGGTTTTTTCGAGACAGGGTTTCTCTGTGTAGCTTTGCGCCTTTCCTGGAACTCGCTTTGGAGACCAGGCTGGCCTCGAACTCACAGAGATCCACCTGGTTCTGCCTCCCAAGTGCTGGGATTAAAGGCGTGCACCACCACCGCCCGGCTCTATAGTCTAGCTTTTACTTTGTTTTCAAAATGGAAGCCAGGGCTTTATTAAGAATCATGAGAATACTAAAATGAATTGTGAATGAATAGCATTTTGAAGTAATCAAATACCTACCGCCCAAGATGGAGTTTTCCGTTGTCTTCCCAAGACTCGGGCTGCTGTGCTACTGGTAGTGTCTAGGAAAGAACCTAAGTTTTTCCTCTTCAGCATTGTCTTGGGGAAGATGAGGACTCTTCCTGAGCTAAGAAAATGATTGAGAATTAGAAAATGCTCACAGAATGAAATCTTAGTGCAGGATAAGGAGGAGGAAAGCAACTGAGCCAAACATTAAAAAGGAAAATGCACACCATAGCTGAGTGTCTGCACAGTGATATATCACTAATCTGAGATCTGCCTATGTTAAGCCATTTGTCCTTTCAGAATGTTACTGGAACTATGTCCTCTTTGGATAAGCTATCCTATGTGCCTCTCACTTCACAGTGTTACTTAAGCCATCTTAGTATAGTAGTTAACATAACCTATCCATAATACCGAGCACCTACAGAAGTATCACAAATTTTCATTTTCCACAATTAATCATATTACATTTTTATTAAAATTTTATAATCAAGTTCTAACATAATTCATATTAATAAAAAATAGAAACAAATATCTGTGACTCTGTGTTATTGTTTTTTCTATCAAGTACTACTTCTTGGATATGAGAAGTCAAATGCACACGATTCTGATTATAATTTCACCAGCCATTTCACTGTTACACACTGTTGGCCAAATGTACTGTTACAACTCAAAACTTTCCAGATGTGTACACACACACACACACACACACACACACACACACACACACTAACCACTGAGAGAAAGAAAGAGGAGGAGGAGGAAGAGTAAATATTTCCTCAGATTTCACAAAATAATATTAAGAATGAATTTTGGATAAGACTGATGAAGGGGCATGCTAACAGTGAGACTTAACAATATGAAGCTTTTTAGACTGACGGCGCACCTATCTCTAAGTTAGAGACTATGGTATGAAGTCGTACTCAGCTTCATAACAAAATTTGGTTTTTAGGGTGAATTGATTTACATTTGGGTTTATAAAGCTACTATCTGTTCTTGAACTATAATCGAAACTTTTCCTTCCTATTTCAGTCTAGAATACCTAGTTATCTGTTCAATTGTTTTGGCATTGTTTGTAAACAGAGAACCCTTGTATGGGAATCTACACCTTGCTAACCATGGTACCACATATGGCTAAATCAGAGCCACAGTTGGAGCTTTGTACAGTCTGTGCATTTATGCCTTGTCCATGAGCCTGCCAACCTTTCCAAAGTGCAAGTTCATAAAAATCTTTTCTAGGGGCTGTATAAAGCCTCCAATTACACATGGTGATGGCGTCCTGGAAGAGGGCTTTAGTACCAATCCAAAGCTCCAACGTATCCCTGTGCCCGGCTTAGAAACACCTCACTGTCTTCCTCTCTGACACCACCTCCCACCTGCTTCCTCCAGTT